TTTTCTCTTAAAGTCTTATCTATGAAACATTAAATAAACATATAAAAGATGCTTCCTATAAATTCATATGCTCTCCTTGAACCAGAGCAATTTCTGGGATGAGACAACAAGCAGTAAAATAAAGCCTCCTTTGGAACTGGAGGCACTTACCTCCCCAGCTTTTGATGCCCGCCTTAAGAAATGTAGTGGCAGGGGTCGACCCAACTCAAATTTCAGTTCTTTCAAAATCAGAGTTTCCATTTCTCGGATTTGGGAACTGGTATAAGCATTGTCTGTGATGTAAACAAAGTCTTCAATATTTGGAGAAAACATCTCCTCATATTTGGAAGCCAAGAGCAGAGCCGTAATCCCAACCAGCTGAAGCTTCTTTCGAGAGACTGGCTGAACCTGCAAAAACCGATCCATGATGGCAATGCACATGTACAGCGTTTCCTGCAGCAGCCTAAACTTGGAGTGGACTTGCACCAGCCAATCCACCAGGATGGCACGCATACGGCCATTGACCTCTCTTCCATCTAAGAAATGTGGATTGATGGATTGCAGAACCTCCAGCTGCCTCAGGTACTGGTAGATGTCCTTAACGTAGTCACTGCAGAGCTGAGGGTTCTCCCAATCTTCATGATCAATATCCTCGATTTTGCAGAGCAAGGCATCAGAGAAAGCTTGGCAGAGATCCCCTTCTTTCATGGAGATATCCTCAGGTGTCGGAGAAGGACCCTTTGGAGCCAACATTTCCCCCTGTACTGGTTTCACAGAAGTGGTAGGTTTCAGCGGTTTGTTCTCATTTGTTGTTTTGGTGGGCTGCGCAGGTACTTTGGTGTTCTGAGCTTTCTTAGCTCCTGGTGCGACTCTGGTTGTGACTCGATTTCCAATTTCTTCTAAAACTGCCCGTCTGATAGTCACATGACTCTTCACTTTTGAATTCACTCCTGTGTAAATATTCTCCAAATCAGTGGGCACCGCCGGGCGTCGGAGCAGCGCCATGAGGATTGGGGCAGGCGAGAGCGCCAGCCCGGCCCAGGGCAGGACGCGGACTGGGGAGGCAGGGCACAGACTTCCGCGGCGCCATTATGCATCCACTTGCATGGGCTTAGCTCTGCCACTTATTAACTGTGCATCCGTGGTTAGTCACAACCACCCCCTCTGCCTGACTCAATTTCCTCACCTGTAAAATGGGATTAGTGATCTGGGGATCAGAAGAGACAAGGTATGTGAAAGCACCTTATTAACTGTAGAGATCTATATGAGGAAGGGATATCAGCTATTCTCAGATTGTGCAAATATACTCTCCCTAAAAATCTGGGTGGCTTCTGGATGGGAAGATTCATGCCTCCTTCATTTTTGGATTTCCCGAACCTCATGATATCTGGCATTTGATGAGTACCTCAGTGAATACTTGTTAAATGAATAAATCAGAAAATTGGAAGGGACGTCCCTGAGGTTAAGACATCTGTCTTCCCTCCAAGCTAAAAGGAAAAGAGAAAAAAATCTATAGAAAGTTTTAATCTATAGAAATCTTGAAATCCTTAAGATGAGTTTTTAAATATTTACTATTTTCTGAACAGAATGTGTGCACATGTAATTGTGTGTGTTTGTTGCTTATTCCCTCTGCAGCTGGAAGTCTACATTAAATTTGAAATGGGATATAAAAAAGTTTTGGCTCTTGCAAAAAAACACATGTGATTATATTTTGCTCAGCATTAAGAGAATAGAGATGGGCTAACAGGCCATGCCTGGGTTCTCATTTTTGATTCATAAGTCTTACCTTTGTTTGTTCATTCATTCAGTCCTGGCAGCAAATGATTCTGTGCAAAAGCCAAGCCTCGTTACAAGGTGAAAAATGTCTGATCCAGCCTTTTGGCTGACAAACTCCCTCTGATCCTTCCAGATTTTATTGCCTCTGGGCCTTGAAACATTTGAAATCCTACTCCATGTGGCATCTCCCACCATCCCTTATTTTCAGTTTTATAATCTTAGAGATAAAAATGCTGAGATTTCCACCAATAGACTATACTCGTATACATTGGGATACACTGGGATACATTGGGATATACTGGGGTACATTGCCACTGGAATCCTCCAGAAACCCCACCTCTGACAAGACTGTCCATGTCAAGTCTGAGTCCACATGGAGAATGGCAATGGCTGCTTTGGTCCAACTTTGGATTCTAGGTAGTGCCCACTGGACTTTCCCCTCCCCATCATCCCCATTGCCACTGTCTTCCCCACCCCTAGGTATAACCCTGCCTATCATCCCACTTTTTTGCCCCTCACCTCTTTTCCCCTCTCCTCCCCAGCACCTTCTTCTCCCTTGTCTGTTCCAATTTTACATTTAGTTCTCATGCACCAGACCCAGGCTGGGAATGACTAACCCCACCTTGCAGTGCCTGCTGTTCCCAACACCCCCTGCCCTTCGTCCCCTTCCCGGCATGTCCCAACCACCACACAAGCCCCTGCAAATTCACATTCCTTCCCAGGCTTGATGCTTCCAGTTTTGTTCTCCCTGGGTTGCTGCCTCTATCAGGCCGGCGGCTCCATTGTTATTATGATCATATATTAAGTTTAATGTGTCCACAAGGCATTTTATACACTCATAAAATCAGGCCCTCTAAGAGCTCCCTGTGCTGAAGACAATGGAAATACCATCCTAGGTCTTAGCTGGTGCATCGTGTCATTATGGCCTCTAAATGTCCAAAGCCAGGTAGTGGTTGTTTATTTCTGTTTGTGTTACTCTGGATGATAAAAACTGCATTTTGAAGAGGTCTAAATGATTTCCCAGCTTATAAGCAGAGCCCAAGTGTCGATTACCTCCATTTGGGCAACATCCCACAGTATTAGTGATATTAATAATAGGTGACATTTATCGAGTACATATTATATGTTAGACTGTGCATTAAACATTTACATGCATTTTGCTACATAATCTGCCCAATGACCTATGCAACATGTAGTATTTAATTTAGAAGTATTTACTATAAGAAAAATTGAGACACACAGAGAAGTAATGAGTTCAAAATCAAACAGCATAGAGGTGGGAAAACTGGGATTATTCAAGCCTAGACTGTCTGGTTCAAAAGCATTAGACAGTCACACAGACTGGCATTAGAAGAGGTCTACTTAGGAGGCCTTGGAACTTAATGAGTCAAAGACAAGTGTGGCAGATTGAGTGGGTGTTGTTGATGTGCTCTTCTCTCTCAAAAATTCTGCCCAAAGACCCTTCTCTGTCAGGTCTAACAAGGTGTCAAGTACCCTCAGGAACTCCATCCCGTACAGAGTTTATCTTTATTTCCCCTGACCTAGGAGACAATGGGCCACAAGAGGAAAGGACTCAGACAAGAGCAGATCTCCTTGCACAGTGGGAGTTGTATGTGCTGCAGACTTGCACAGGAGATAAAATAATAGTAAATCAGATGATCCTTCTACAGAATTCTAGCTCCTTAAAGAATCTTAGGTGCTCTCCAGTCCAATTTGCTAACAGAGGATAATGGATTGATTAGCCGAGTGATTTCCAGTGCTTCTCTCTCCTCTTGCTCCACCAACAAATATTTTGCACTTCATCCTTTTCCCTCTTTGTTCCTCATTTTTCTATTCAAGGCATCTATAAGCTACAGTATGAGTTTGCTTGGAAAACATTGATATCACTGATGTACTATTTTTAAGTACGAGTAAACCAGAGCTCAAAGAGGCTGTTACTTTCCCAGAGCCATGGAGCCTGTTCAGCGCAGAGCTGGGACAAGATTCATACTTCCTGGCTCACAGGACAGTGCATTTCCCAAGCAATAGTGGAAAATATGAACACCCTCCCTTCCCAGATTATGTCCAGTATAAGGACGGGCTGCTAAAGCCATACTAGCAGAGTCTCATTCACGTACTCACCTTCCTCAGCAGTCTCCCAGAATTTCATTTCGCACATACACTTTTGCCAGAGAGACTCCAAAATGTGCCAAAATAACTATCATGCCCCACCTGACATTTGCTCCATCTCCACATCCTCAGTCCCACAGCCAGGGAGGAGGTTGGATGGGCTTGTTGCTGTCCAAGGTGCTGATTAGACCAACATAAAAGAACATACTTCACCTCAGGGCTCCAGGAGATAAGGTAACGGAAGGGTAAAACATTCACTGATGCATAAAGACTCACAGAACAGAAAATAAGGCACTGTTCTGGGAATTCAGTATAAAATGACAACTAGGGAAAGTGTTATACCTGTCTTCATAGAGTCTGTCTTCTAGTGAAGAGACAGATAAACAAGTATCCAAATGTGTCAGCTGGGACTACCTCTCAAAGACCTGAAGGATGAGAAGGAACAGTCATGTGAAAATTGGGGGGAGATAAGCCCATGGGCAGAAATGATTTACCAAAAATTCTTTTGGAGAAATCTCAGCACTCTCAGGAATCTCTCTGATAGTCCAGTGGGACAGTAGTACAGTAGAGATGATATGAAGTGGCCAGCAGCTAGATGGGACAGGACTATATAAATCATAGCATACAGTTAGGCTTCTTTCTATGTGCAATAGGAAGCTATTGATGGGTTTTAAACTACAAAGAAATGTGATTTCACTTATACTTTGAAATAATAGTTTATTAAGGAAAATTTCAAATACATATAAAATAATCAAAATAGTAAAATGATCTCCCATGGACCCCAATACCCAGAGCCAATAGTTATCAACACTTTGCCTTCTTATATCATCTATACTTCTATACACTCTCCACCCTCCCACTCATTTATTATTATTTTTAAAGTTGTATATTCCTATTTTAAAGTAAAATTCACTTACAATGAATCTTAGCTGTAGTATTTTGACAAATGAAACCCACATTCTTATCATAGGACATTTTCATCTTTCCAGAAAGTTCCTTCATGCTCCCTCCCAGTCAAGTCCCACCAACTCACCACCTCTGGAGGCAATGATTATTCTTAACTATTTACCTTAGATTAGTTTTGCTTGTTCTTAAAAACTTACATTCACGGACTCATAAAGTATTATTTTCTGTGTCTGGTTTCTTCCATTCAGCATAGTGTTTTTGAGATTCATCCATTTAAGTGTATCAGTAGTTGGCCTTTTTATTTTTTTTTAGCTTATTAGTATGCTATTGTATAAATACACAATATGTTTGTCAATTAACTTGTTGATAGACATTTGGGTTGTTTCCAATTTTTGGCCATTGTGAGCAAACCTGCTGTGAACATTATACAGTTCTTCTGTGGACATATGTTTTTCTTACTCTCGGATAAATACCTAGGGGTGGAATTAATTTATTCTTTTTTTTAAGTATTGGGAAAAGAGTGGAAGATGCAGGTATGCTGGCAAGAAAAACACTTCAGAGGCAATTACAGTAGTTAAGGGGAGAGATTATGATGGTTTACATGGGGAGGAGATTATAAGAAGACTGGAGAGGCAGATTTAAAATATGTATTGATGAATAAAATCAATTATTGCTGGTAAAGTGTGGGGGCATGAGAAATGGAAGCATTAAAGATGACTAATAGATCTCTGGCTTGATTAAACTGATTGTATATTGGGTTATTTTGCTGCAGTTGAGAGGTGGAGAAAGAAAAATAATTTAGAAGGCTTCCAAAATAATTTAGAGGGTTTCATTCTGTAATGCGTAAGACTGCCAAGAGCAGACATGAAGCAGGCACTTAGAGGCTAGACGTCAGGGAAAAGGCAGACTCGCTGTTACCCTTACATGCAGGTTCCACCTTGCCCAGATCCAGTCTGTTCCCAAAAATACCTCAAGATCTAGTAGAGGGACGGAAAATGGCTTTTATTTCATGGTAATTTATTACTCTGGTAAATTGGTGGAACACTGTGCAAAGAAAGATTCTGAGACCATTTTTGGGGTTGGCAGGCAGGAAGGAGTGATGTGTTGATAAGCAATGTTTTCCATGGTGGGAATAGAATCACAGCATGATGGAACCCAACTCAGATACTGTCTCTACCTGATCAAGTAGAAATCCATGACTGTAACAATTTAAATGTGAAGACTCTCTTCTAGAATAACCAAGCACTAATAATACTGACCACAGCCCAATCTACACAAAGATATAGATTGACCCT